GCACAAGCCCATTTCTCTTTGTGCACGCTCTGTTTGAAAGTTGCTGTTTGCATTGCTCATACAAGCTTACTTTCCAAAATAAAGTTTGCAATTTTTCCACTATGTCAGACTCACCCCTGGTAAGTGAAAATGGGGATGAGCATGTAGGATGGCCTTACTTAAACATATCACCAGAATGATTGATAAATAGGAGAACCACTGGTTTTGATGATCCACCCAGAAAAAGAACATCCTCCACTATAACTTTAAATTGCAAAGATACTCAAGCTCAGCGTTAAAAAAAGTCACAGAAACACGGCGCAAATCCTGAGCCACACAAAACACAGCATAAAGAATGGCGCTAAATACAACTTAGTACTTCCAGAAAAAGCTGTTATAAGTAATCATATAAGTAAAACAAATTTCATTCTGGGGTGAAGGTGAACTTCATGGCCGGTTATTTCCCATAAACACATTTCCAGAGCAATGCATGAATAATTCTGAGCAAAGAATATCCATATTTATTTATTTAAATCAAGTTCAAATGCAACTATGTGGAGATATTTCAAAGTTGGCCTGCGCCAGTGTTTCAGCAATTTTGCAGGGATGAATTGGAAAAATCTTAGGTTTCTAGATGTGCAAAGCTTGAGAAATGCACAACAAAGATGATTGCAATGGATGCTAGTTCTATAATTTAAGGGTTCAGGCAAGCTAAATATGCATACACACAACACATTTAAGATTATCATTTCTAAAAATGACAACCCACCATTATTTTGCTTTTGATTTACAGTATAAGTATTTCCTGCTTTGCATTTGTCTTTCTACAGTATTTAAGGTGTTAATTCTAATGTGACACAATAGTATTGGTGATATTTATTTATTTATTTTGCTTGTGTTATGAGTTCAGTTTGAAAACTGTAGATCAAATATGTGGGGTTTTGTTTTTACATTTCTAACTGAAGGAAACCCTGGAGATGAAATATAAATGAAGGCAAAGCATGAGATTTACATTGTGCAAATGTATAAGTTATTAATTGAATGCTTTCTGAACAGATGCTCTACAGTACGTAAACAGCTACATTTCTACTAAAAGTTTCAGTGGTTAAATGCTTTATTCCCTCCGATAAGGAGCACTGTTGGTTGAGCAGACCGAAGTTCAAGTTTTTCTTTTAAACCAAACAACACAGTTGAAGTCAAAGGTCACCAAAATGGAACACCTGTCATTAACAAATCAGTTTACTTCAGTTCAGCATTCAACACTGCCTTGCCAGAAATCCTGGCCCTAAAGCTCCACAACCTTGGTTTATCTAATCACTTTACTGTATATTTAGAAAATTCACCAACAGACCCCACTGTTCCTCAACAATGGCACACCACATTCTTTTATCTGCAGCCCCACCCTTTTAACCCTATTCATCCTTTAACGTTTCTGGGCATTTACATTTCCCCTTACCTCTCCTTGACTGAGAACAACACCCACCTGGTAAGAAGGCCCAAAAATGACCCATCTTTCTAAAAAAGCTAAAACTCTCCACTCAGCTTCTCACAAACCTTTAAAGGGCCACAGTTGAAAGCATCACATGTTTCATGTCTTCATGTTGCATAGGAGCTGCATGGCAAAGGAGAGGAAAACCCTGGGATCCATTTCACAAAACATTTTTTTTTTTGGAGTTTTTACAGCACTAGTGGCTCATTTTTTATGGACAGTAGGCTGGCAGGAAAGGGGGTATTAGAGAGGAACCCGGGTCGCCCATGTCGAGGATTAAGGCCTCCATAGATTGATTGTGTGCGTTAACCACTGCGCCACCAAAGCAAGCCGTTCATAAAGCAGGTTTAACAAACTCAGATTCAAATCTGCAAATCTAAAATGATGTAGCTTAAAGACTGGAACTCTGAGTTTTTGGTTTCACAACGTCTGCTATGAATTACTTCTACCAATTCTAAGTAGGTCCGCTTAGAGTTGAACACGTGCATAAGAAGTTTGAAAAGCCATTATCAGTGGAGCACTGACTCAACGA